GATGATGATGATAGAAAAAGTCGGTGTGTTCTCGCTGGAATCCGACATCGGAATATTCGGAGATATAGGTGTTATATGCATACTTTGGATATGCAATCCTTGTGCCTGACATATCCATATTCGGATAGCCTTATCTGACAAGTTGCCTCTGGACAGCTCGACCCGCAACATTGACCATCATGAAGACATGTAAGACGCATTTGTATTTACAATGTTAAGATGCGTGGTTTATATAATCTGGACGATAGGTCTGACCGTGCTAGCGCCGTCGTGAAAGCGGATGTATATCCTCATCGGTGCTCCGGCGACATAGACGGCGTCGCATGCACGATCTGATGTTTCAAAGGTCCGATGAGAGAGATGCACAAGAACCTTAATCGATCATTAATCCAATCGTGGGATGAATTTACGGATTTGTTTCAATCACATACTATACTTCTGGTCAACACAGTGTCAACATGCAAGGGGCGAAGGCAGCGAAGCCGACTAGAGAGCGGCACGCATCGACATGACAGATCCCCTGGACATGCACTGGAATCCTTCACCAGCAAACATCGCATCTCAGCTGCTCACATGAGACGGCCAGGGATGAACATGCCAAACAGCAGTGCTGTTCGTGCGCCCCCAGGTTCGCGGGGTTCTTTGAGCTCGCCCTAGCCCCTGATGGCGCGTGTTCATAGCTTTCGGTTGCGGCGCGCTGCCAGGGCGATCTTGGCGCCGCAGGGGCGAAAGTAAGCACGGCCGATGACCACCAGCAAGAGTTCTCATCTTCACAGTAACGTACATATTTTGAGGTGGAGGCCAGCGCGGGCCAAGAGCAACCCCAAGATTTATTCAATCAACCAGAGCAGCCAGCTGTGATGTTGGCATGAGAAGTCCAGCGGCACAGGCGCCCCCAGGTGCCGCTGAAACCAACAAAGACCTGTGTGTTGGTCTGCAAGCCCCCACGGCAATGCGAGCCTGCCATCAGCTTGCTCCATGGGGGCCAGCGGCCCCAGTATGGCGTCTTTTGATGGAAGATAAAAGCCATCCGATGTCCTGTCGAGGTATCTACATCATCTCAAGTGATCCAAATTCCAGCGTTCCCTACTCAGTGCTATCCATTATCTTCTTCTTCCTGAGGCTTCTTTGCTTTTCCGACCGCAATCATGAAGTTCCTCCCACTCTTCGTCACTCTTGCCACAACTGCAAACGCACATTCAATTTTCCAACGGCTAGCTGTTGACGGCGTAGACCAGGGCCAACTGAAGGGAGTTCGCGCGCCAGAAGACGACAGCCCGATTACCAACCTCAACGATGCCAACTTTGCCTGCAACAAGAACCTCGTCTTCTTAGATAAGTCTGTCATCGCGGTTCCCGCCGGCGCCAGCGTTGGTGCTTGGTGGGGACACGGCATGGCTGATGCGATAGTTCCAGGCGACGTGGACCATCCTATTGCAGAAAGCCACAAAGGTACGCACGGTGCTTTAACCCGTGACTGGCAACCATGCTAATCCGGAAGAAGGTCCCATTATGGCGTACCTTGCCAAGGTAGACAGTGCGGCGACAGCCTCACCTACTGGGCTGAGGTGGTTCAAGATCGCAGAGAGCGGTCTTCAGAATAACCGGTGGGCGATTGATGATCTAAGGGCTGATGAGGGGTGGTTCAACTTCACGATGCCTTCGTGCGTTGCGTCTGGAGACTACCTCATGAGAGTTGAGATCATCGCGTTGCACGAAGCATTTGAGGCGATGAAACAACCTCAATTTTACATGGAATGTGCACAGTACGTCTCTCTTGAAACCAATATACCCCCTCAAGCCAGATATTGACGGTGAGACAGAATTCATGTCAAAGGATCCGGTACGAATAGGGGCGTAGACTTTGCCGAATTCCCGGGGACATATCAGCTCGAGAATCCAGGCCTTGTCTTCAACATTTACGATGATAACGGTGGATATGATCCTACTGGAAAGACATATTCGATTCCTGGGCCCAAAGTTTTGAGTTGCTGAGTCGGCGTCTATGTAACGAATTTCGAGGCGGTTGGGGGACGTTGTCTTGACGGCGATGGGGTCGCATGTTTGAGCTATGTGGTGGTGGCTACTTTTCTTGCCGCCGATTACCTATCCAAATCATTCCAACTTTGCGATGCTATGCCAGATACCAATATCAATTAAATTTCGTCATTATCTAACCAGTATTGTGATCCATGGATGCCGATGTAGGAGTATCATAGAGTCTCATACGCATGATGACATGACGACACGGGTACGTCCGTTCCCTCAGCATCTTCCCAGCTCTCAACTTCAGCCCTTTGTGTAGGAGTTGTAAATGAAGAGAATAAATTCGATTCAATCTCAGTTTCTAGTGTCTCGCCTTGTCTCTCACTGCAAATAGAGAAGAGGTTTCGCATCGGTTAAAATGATAAGCGTGAGAAAAATCCACGAGATACCCGACCATCTTTCCCAGAACTCGATGGTATATCGGCTACAATGCTTTAGAGACTACGTATCTATGTATACGCAGGGCTGGATACGCGTATCGCCCCTTTACGTCTGACGCGTGCTTGTTTCCGTCCCAAATCCACAGCCCAGGCAACGAAGGTTTTGAGATACTGAGTGAGGCTCATGCATAATCGAATTCAGTCCGAACCCCTCGCAAGCTCCGATATCCCCGTTAGTCCTAATAGTATAGTTGCCGACTCGCTCCCGGGCCCGGCAACTAAGCCGAAGGGCTATCTGTGGTTTGAAGATGGGATTAGAAAGACGTTCTTGAACAGTTTGTCCCCATATGTAGCCACAATTCATCATGTAGTCAGACTTCATTCCACCCATGACATCTGATGCACTATTCAGAGATACCAGCTTTGGAGAACCGGATTTCGCCGTTGCCAAGTTTTATTTGGCTATTGGTCGTAAATGTGATGTGATGCAACAAGACCAGTCGTAGTTGTAAAAGCCGGGTTATTCCTTTGACCCGGCGACACAAGTGACGTGGTCAGTATCGGGCGATGTAAACGAGATGCGGACTTATAGTGACCAAGAGTCAATGGCAGGTAATCGCTGTGAACCTCATGCTCTGACTTGAGTGTCACTGCGATGAAGGCTCAAATGTGGACTGGCCAGTGGATTCCATTAACAACACAACGCAATAAACTCACAAAGACACTCAGACTATCAAGTCGGAGAGTTCTTCCAAAATAGTTCTTCGCGAAACCGATGGTTGATACGTACGACTGCTTCTTCTTCATTGCTTGACGCGAGATGATCTACAGCGAGGTTGCAGATCACTTTACGTTGACCAAAGCTTGGCCTAAGAAAAATCTTTCAGGCATCTTTTGTTACCCGTTCATGCCCCGCCGAGAATGTCACACAATGGTTTGGTCAGAGAAACGAAGAATTCTTGGCCCGAATCCGAAAAATAAAGGCCCGGCAGGCGGTGGAGCCGGGATGGATCAAGCTCTGCCAGCGCCGGTCGCTGTTCCGCCAAGATATGAGCCGGCAAGTTGCGAAATTCTGTTACTGCACCGGACTTAGGGATTCAAGACTCTTGATTTGAATGTTTGCGCCTCACGGGGATTGTGTGAGTCCCGGGGAGGTAACATTGCAGGTGTGGCTGATGTTTTATTGACGGCTCAAGACTTCCGCGTATTCGCTAATCCCCTCTCGCATCTAGAACAGCTGGGAGGCCTTATCGAGTATCAGCAGCGACTGATCAGCAGTAGGCTGTGAGCTAGCCCCATGTTTGTTGGCGACGCTAGAATTTTCTCTGACACTGGACCAATCCCACGTCCCATGGCAATCCTGGGGTCACTCGCTGTCGCTTTCTTTCCCATCAAGGAGTCATGAACCGGGACTCACCAGCGGGTTCTTGCAACTGTCCGGCGCTGCGGCAAGACCCGCGGCTCTCGACTCTTGGGCGGGTTACGCCAATTTTAAAGACCTGGACCTTATTTCCCCGCAGGGGCCCAGTAAGCGGGAGCGCCATCCTCCGGCGCAAGTTATGCAACGTCCGGCTCGATTTATGCAAGCGCCGGGTCCAGATGACCCCATTATCGCGGACGTCTAGAAGTTTAGGAAGAGTCTTAGCACGATTTGGGGTTAGTGACATCGAAATGCGACCAGTCGCATGGCTCACTGTCTTGAAATTTCGAGCGTACAGCATGCAGTTTCTCGGAGCTGGCTGAGAGGCTTATGTGAGCTAAAGCTTGCTATGCGCACTCATCCATACGGACTGGTTCTATGGGCGCACGAGTTGTCACGGGCCGGTGTTCAAGCTTAAGGCGATGCTGTGACCATTCCACGTGTGTAATATGCGCATGTTAAGTTGACGCAACATTCGTAATTCGTATCACGACACTTGCTCTCTATGACGATACGACGTAAATCATGAATGCGAAAATCAAGGGGCCCAGGGCAATGGTTCTCCGGATTTAAGAAGCGTTACAATGCCCGAAGATCTGGCCCGATCACGAAAGGGGTGGCTCATCCGATGGACATTTGACAGCAAACACGATGCTTGGGCCAGGCGCTTTTTGACATCAATCAGATTTTTCTTTTGCGAGGTACGGGGCTCAAACATGAGTCGAATGGCATGTTGGCGCGCCATCTGGAAATAGGGACCAAGCAGAATTCCGTCCCAAAAGATGGCCAAACCCCGTGTCTTGCCATGTCAACGCCGCGTCTCTCATCAAATGGTTCCAAGCCGTCAAGCCATCAAGCGGGATGGACCCCTGTCACCGTTCGATCTGACCCAATCGCGTGCGAGCTCGCCTTCGCATTCCCTGGGTTTCTCGGTTTCGGTTTCTTTTTGCAATGGGTGGATCGAGCCTAGTCCTTGCGCAGCGCAGCGGAGCAAAACCAGGCGAACGGGAAGGGCGCAAGGGCCTGGGATCTGCACAATTTTGTGCACCGGAGCGGTTCCCCCCCTTGTCGTTACTCGTGGCGCGCCTGCGTGCTCGTGTCTCCCGTGATAGATATAATGTTACGTTTCCCCTTTGCTGGATGTTCTTGAATTTCTTTTGAGGCTTGTGCCAAGCGCTTCTATTCGACGACAACACTCGAACTCCCGAACACCAGCTTAAAATTCACCTCACAACTTACGCCAAGCGCACACTCCCGCTTATTAGAGTCTCAGTTTCTCAAGTCAACCCGGCAGCATGGCGGAACGAAGGCCTTCGGACTCTGTGCCGAGAGATGTGGACGTGGAGAAGGGAATCAGCCCCAACGCCTCCGACCTCGAGGGCGCAACTATCAGACCCGAATCTGGCCGCGAAGCCGCATTAAATCCTGACGATGCGCCGAAAGAGAACGATCCCAATATCGTAGACTGGGACGGCCCCGACGACCCTCAAAACCCGCAAAACTGGCCCGCGAGTCAGAAGTGGATGAACATTGCCGTCATTTCTATCTTGACGCTTGTAACGTAAGTTGATCCTCTCTAACATGCTTTGAGTTACCCCTGCTAACAGCTTTAGACCACTTGTAAGCAACTTTATTTGCGCAAATCATGTTCAGTGACTGACCTTGTTCCTAGGGCTCTTCAATGTTCGCGCCCGGTATTCCCAAGATTATGGTCGAGTTCCACGAGACATCATCCATGACAGCCACTTTCGTTGTTTCCGTCTACATTCTCGGTTTTGCCTTCGGTCCCCTTATGGTCGCCCCTCTCAGCGAAGTCTACGGCCGCAGACTCCTCTACAACTGGGGTAACGTCCTTTTTACTGTCTTCACCGTTGGAGCTGCTCTCGCCAAGAACATGCCTATGCTCATGGCCTTCCGATTCCTCATGGGCCTGGCTGGATCCGTCCCTATCACCATCGGCAGCGGTAGTATCGCAGACATCATGCCCATCGAGCAGAGAGGCCGCGCAATGTCGGCATGGGCTATGGGACCTCTTCTCGGACCTTGCATCGGGCCTGTTGCTGGCGGATATCTGATCAAGGCAGCTGGCTGGAGATGGATCTACTGGCTTGTGGTCATTGTGGTATGTCATGACTTTAGACTGTGGAAATTGGTTATCGGTTCTAACACACGTACAGGGCGGTGTTTTTATCCCCCTCTCCTGGTTCCTGATGAAGGAGACGTTCGCCCCTGTTCTTCTTGAGCAAAAGACTAAGCGTCTGCGCAAGGAGACTGGCAATGAGAACCTCCGCAGCAAGCTTGAGACCGAGGCCAAGGTTTCCGACAAGTTCAAGTTCGCCATCATCCGCCCTCTGAAGCTTCTTTTCGCCACTCCTATCGTCACCCTCATGGCTCTCTACGTGGCCGTCACCTACGGTATCTTGTACCTTCTCATCACGACATTTTCTTTCGTCTTCAAGGACTACTACGGATTCGATGAGGGAACTGTCGGCCTGACTTTCCTTCCTGCCGGTATCGGTATGATTATCGGTGTTGGAACTTTTGGCACTCTCACCGACTACATCGTCAAGAGGAACAAGGACAAGGGACTGCCTCACCGACCTGAAATTCGTCTGAGCCCTGCTATGGCCATGCCTTGTGGTGTTGTCCTCCCTATCGGTCTCTTCCTCTATGGTTGGACTGTCGAGAAGCACGTCCACTTCATTGTGCCCATGCTGGGTGTCGTGATCTTTGCCGCTGGTCTTATGGGCGTCATGGTATGTATCCAACCTACCGTTACTCTGTGGATGCGTTGCTAACAATAAGCTATAGACTTGCGTTCAGAACTACCTCCTTGACGCATACCCTCGCTACGCAGCCTCGGTCACCGCCGCGCTGGCTGTTCTTCGATCCTTGGCTGGAGCCCTTCTCCCTCTTGGTGGTCTGGAGATGTACAACGCCCTTGGTCTCGGCTGGGGAAACAGTCTCCTTGGTTTCATCGCCCTCGGCCTCGTCCCCATTCCCCTTCTCTTCTATCTCTTCGGCGAGCGCATCAGAAACAAGTTCAAGCCCAACTTGTAAAGTTTTGAAGCATAGGTAGCATGTCGATCTTTCATGGCGTCGGCGTTTGGTTTCAGCATTAGAGCATGACTTGCATTAGATGGATGGCATGAGACGAAAGCGGCTACGGCCTGCACTTTTTTGTAATTATTTGATGGGCAAAAATTGCTGTTGCGACTGGGTTATGAACACCCATGATTATATTTACTGTACATATTTGAGTGACATATGGAATCGAACCCTGGGGTACCACTAGTGTTAAAAATCATCGTCGCCCTTGCTTTCGTGGTGACATGGCCTGCGGAAGATTGTGCGCCTTTCTTCTCCATGTTGAATACTGGAATCCACCAGTTCCCATGTCATTGAAACGCGTCCTCATTTAGTAGACCCAAAAAGTGCTGCTGTTCGCGGTACCAATTGCCCAACCCAGACCCGTCCGCATCGGAACTCTCATTGCCATGCCGTATTGTCTCAAGACCGTGAGCATCGGGAACGTCGATATCAAGCAAAGACTCAAGTGAATGTTGATTCATGCTACCGTCCCACTCGCCCGTCTTTGACTCAATATGAAGGCGGGCAGCCTTGCAGAGGAGTTTGTAGATCCGGTGTGGATGAGTTGAGCAATCAGAAGCTTGATCCTCCGGCTGGAGCGACCTAGCAAACCGATCAAGAACGGCAAGATCTGCGTCATCGGCGGTCCGCACCGCATGGAGAAACAGGACACTGAATGACACGAACGGCATGTTCAGAATAGCCCTGTCAAGTCAGCACAAGAATCAGGTTCTGCTTCCTTTAACTAATTGTGCCGCCAGATCTGAAAAGCCGGCTAAAACAGCCAGAGGCAAAAGTGGAGAGAGATGTCAAGAACATTGAAGTACATACCAGCTAATGTACTTATTCACAATTTGGGGGTCACTCTTGCAGTTACGGATGCTCGTCATGCACTGATGGTGGATCTCGAGAGCTAGGCGAGCGACTGCGACGCATTCATCGGAGGCGCCGCTTGGAGAACTTCCAACCGAGGGTATCGCTCTGAGGATCAGCGTGAGGAGCGATGTATGACAGACCAGATGGCACTGCAAATACAAAACACGCAAAGGGTCTTCATTCTCATCCGGGTCACGGTTGTTGGCATTCTGGAACGAAAGATTAGCAACATTCATTCTTCGTTGCATGGTTTACGCCAACTAACCTCCATATCCACATGGACGTCTCGTATCATCTCCCGCAGTTGTGTGGCGAGCACCTCGGCGTCGTGCCCCCTCTCGAGTACAGGCCGCGACAAGCCCTGTGGGCTGTAAAGTTGTTCATAGGCCTTGCCTTGAATCCTTGCCAATCTGATACTTCTCGGCTGGCTTTCTGGGTCAAATGAGAATTGTATATCGACATCACGAATGTTGGGGGGCCGATTGAGCTGCAAAGACAGCCCCTTGTCGAGCGAGTAAACGGACCAGAAGAGACTCTCTTGAGTGTTAGTCGACGCAAATGACCCGTCACGAGCTCTCCTTCGTGGGATAGGCCGATGGTATCCCAGCGTCTGGCACAGACTTGCGGCGGATGAGATGAGAGACCAAGCTACAGTTGCTTTGGCATTTTCCATAGCGTCATAGGCCTGTCATAGTTAGTCGTTTATTTAATACTTGTATGATCAGAACCTACTGCTAGTGTCAATGCAGCAACCGCATCCATAGATGCTGGTAGCAAGAGTGTGAGTCTTGCGACCGCGTCATGGAGGTTCTTGCGGCACATGAGCCAGTGCTCCCTGTAGTCGTTGAGTCCGGTAGTGATAAGATGCTCGGCAAATATGTAGGTAAGATAGCCGTTGGCCAAGACGAAGTCGATCTCAGTATAGTCGTCAATCGCAAAATACATCTTTCTGCATACTTCTTCGAAGTACTCTACGGGAAGCACTCGTGATATTCGAGCGATGCGGAAGAAATGCTCACGCGCTGCTTAGATGTGAGGAGAATATCATGCGAATAGCGGATGAAGACCTTACCTCTGACCCAACGCAAAATCTCGAGGACATCTTTGACAGGAGGCATCTGAGGATCTTCAATGCGCCCTCCTTTGAGAACATTTTTATCACGTGAACGGTGGTTTCCACCGGGCGACGGATCCTCCAGCGTACTTGTGAGATCAGTCAAGGATGAGACGACTTCAGATGTCTCCGGGCTTGACCCATCCGAAGTGACTGTCCCGTCTTCTAAAACAGACTTCAGAAGGTCAATCATATGGGCTGAGTGGTCGAATGAGGACACACTGGTGGCAATGGTGTCTTCTGTGATTAAGGGCGGGGCCGACGCTTCAGCATCACTGCTGGTGAGAGCATTCGGGGCTGGTTTCGGAATCTGTGATGAATCGAGATTTTTTAGTATTAACTTGATACCGTCAATGCCTTTGGCAATATCATCAATCTTCTTCTCGCTATATTCATGGGAGATTGATTGTCAGCAACTGCGCGTCCAAGCCTACGTGCAGCTATGCCATTGCCAACATCTGTGAAAACCTGGAAGACCGGCCAAGTGATAAGCAAACACCAGTCTTGTGCTTGGATCCATACGAATTACTTACTACTGAGCTGAAATCAGCACTCTTTGCTTGGGCGTCGATGTGTTGGATGCAACTGCGCTGTGGGTGCAGTTGATTTTTGCCACAACGCAGTTTGAGCACGGCGAACCTCTGTCGCAGCCAATCTACTCGTCCCCAGCATCAGCCATTTTCACAGCCTTTTCATCAAGTCAATCGAGAAGACATACCTTTCTTGAACGGCACTGGTCACACTAAATCCTCCGTCAGCTTTGACTCCTTCACGACGTTGTCCTTAGCTTACTGATCGTCGGGCGATGGCCGGGCGAGATCTCGTTCTCTTGTCAGACTCAATCCCGCGGTTTTCCATGATGATTGACGCCGTAAATTGACCAAACGTTTTGGCCGTTGTGAACGGCACTCGCAGAAGTCATGTTGGTTATGAGATGACTAATGGTGAAACTGGGTATTCCGAGGTTGCTGACGCATCTCGGACAATTACCAAAGTTCCAGTCCGCAGTCGCGCCGTCAGCACGCCCACGCAATCAACGGAAACGCGCGCATCCCCGGTCGGAGCCAATAGACTGTAAATCGATTGTTGATTGGTTCGCGTGTAAGTCATCAACGTCTGGCATTTGATTACTGTTCTCGTCACTGCCTATGTTACATCAACAGAATCGTCACGAAGTATGTGAGTGTGTATCATGCCATGACCCTGAATGTTATAAGTATGAGCCACCCGAAGCGTAGAGAAGCTTTCTTCCGGTCATCTTAATGCAAAGTATTACACAAGTCAAGAAATCTCCGGCAAACACAATGAGCCACAACATTCTTATCACTGGCGCTGCCGGTTACATGTATGGCCAATAAATCCTGACAGTGTACGCAGTAATCACTGACTGACGGTTGCGATACCAGCGGCGGATCCGTCCTCGCAGATTTCCTAGAGCGCACGAGCGGCCCTATCAACAAGGCAAACATCTTTGCCGTTGTCCGAACGGAGGAGCAGGCCCAAAAACTGCATGCGGCAAAACTCGGCGTCAACGTGGTCCAATTTGATCTGGCCAATCAGCAAGCTGTTGCAGAAGCAATTGTCGAGAACAAAAGTATGTTGCAATCACTAGAAGACCGCAATATTACAACTAATGATTTCCTAGTTGATCTCGTGATTCATACCGCTGGTGTCATCGACCATCAACCCCTGTCAAACCTCATGAAGGGGCTTGGCGAGCTTCGGGTGGCGACCGACAAAGATGTCTACTTCGTTCACGTAGGCTACGATACTTCCAAACTCCTCAGCAAATTACTCAATATTTTTGCAGACTTCGGTAGCGACCCTTTTCACCGAAGATGGTGGCTGGTCTTCTGGCGAGGTCAAGGATACCGATGGTCTTTACGAAAAGGAGAAGGAGATCGGGGGCCCAAACCATGCGCGACTGGTAAGATGCATTTAACATTCAGACCCTCTACTTGCGCTAATACTTCTTTTCCATGTAGTCCAATATCCTGGTCATGGATCAAGCTGAAGCATTCGGCGTGACTCCCTTCATCATTCCGGTGCCCCTCGTTTGTGAGTTAAATACGGTCGAAAGAAGCTCAAGCATCATACTGATGATACCAAGATGGGCGAGGCACTGGCCAAGGCAGAAAGCTGTCCGTCAATATTCCGGCCATGGTCAGAGCTAGCAAGCGGCTTAGGGTTGTCCACAAATTCGACAAAGATGCAGTAAGTCTCTACAAATTCACCGCGACTCCTTTTTGTCAACTTGCTCACCAGTTGCAATTACCCAGCGCCAACTTGCGGTACATATCCAGGATTTGGTAGAGCTTTACAGGCTCCTAACGGAGAACATCCTCCTTGGAAAGCCCATTCCGAGCGGTCGTGAGGGCTACTACTTTGCCACAGTGCACCGAGTTCCCTGGTGGGATGTCATGGATCGAATTGCCGTGGCCATGCATGCACGCGGGCTCGTCGATGAACCCACGACCAAAGTCTGGCCCAGCTACGACGTGGCGGCTGACACTCTTGGATTTCCGCGACTGTATATCCGGGCTATGGGGACCTCGAAGTAAGCAACATCTTGACTGCAAATATGCTGTGCCGTTTCCGCTGCATTGGAAGCATTTGCTGACCTTTGGAATAGCGGAGAACTTGTGGCTGTCAACGGGTACAAGCTTGGATGGCAACCCAAGTGGACTCAGGAGATGTTTCTGGAGTCCATTAATGATGAAGTCCAGGATGTTTTGGAACTTGACACTGCTCAAACTTCTTCTCTTTTCACAACTCTCTTGCCGTCGTCCGGTAAGTAGGACTTTTGCCATGGGACTACGAAGGTCTGGAAATGAGGTCTTGACTTGGTGGAGCTGGGAACACTGTCGCTACTGCTAGTCAATCATTCACTCACTCAGTCTAATCTGCAAATTGATTCTTTTTTTTCTTTTTCATGAATCATACTTAGCGTCGTATAAATCTTATCTACTACCCATGGTAACAAAGCTGGGGATCTCTGAGGCTCATTACAGCCCTTAGAGTCACCACACGTCTTCGCATGAAGCCAAGCAGAACTCTTAGAAGACATCGAGCTCTTACTTCTAGAATACTGCTTGGGCATTTCTACTAGAATTAGCGTTACCTGAGGTCGCTGTCGAGCAGAAACGGAAGACGAAAGGTTGCCATAGTTTCATCAGCCTCAGCAACTCAACTCCGATCACAGCATCTCAACAAGCTTGAGATTCTCCGCCCTGATGGTCTAGCGGTATGATTCTCCCTTAGGGTTGTTCCGAACAATTCATTCTGGGAGAGGTCCCAGGTTCGATCCCTGGTTAGGGCCCAATTCCTTTTGCCCTCCCCCACATCGGCTCATGTGGACCTGAGGCTCACTTTTTGCATCTTGTTGACCCGTCGAAGGTGGAGGCAACAGTAGCATACAGCTCTAGCGAGGGTTTAGGCAGGGTATGTAGTCGTACCGATTGGTCTGGTAGCACGTAGTGAAACATAGATAGCCTGTGTAAAGAAGCCTGTTACCAGTGGCAAAGCACGAGCAAACATTTTGAGCCCTGACACATACAAGCGACGTAAGAATTTGTTTCGCCGCAATCATTATTCAATTAAGAGCGTTGCTACGTCAAGCATTAAGTGGTGAGTAGTCTATCTAGTCTAGTCTATAGGTCATGTCAGGGTCGTGTGCCATAAGGCAGTCTAAAGTCTAAGTCTAGGGTATCAAAGTCTATGATTCAACCTCCAACCCTTCGCCATGCCCCTCGAACATGCGATCATTATGCTTCCTAGCGCGAGGCATACTCCAGCCCATATCCAGGCGCTGGAGTATCCAAATGTGCGCACCAATGCCCCTCCCACCGGAGAACCGAGGAGGAGAGCGACCGACATGACGGAATACGCCATGCCCAGTCTAGTACCAATGAAGTTTCGGTCTGAGGTGATCTGTGTGAAGGTCGCAGGTTGCAGCGAGAAAAAGCTGCCACTGCTGAACCCGTAGAACACGACAACCACGATCAGGCCGGTTGCATTGCTGACAGCCATCAGGCAGAACGCCGAGATGGACAGAATTAGCACAGCCACCACCAACATGTTCATCGTCCCGATGCGCGACGCGAACAAGTTGGGAATGGTCCTTCCGAGAATGGACGCACCGTTCAGAATTGAGAGCAGATACGTGGCGACGCGCGGCGACGCGGTCTCGGTTGCCAGAGCGTACTTCTGGACATAGACGAACGGCGTGTACATGCCTAAAAAGACCAGACAGCAGGCGCACACAAAGAGCAGGTAAGGGACGTCTCTGAAGGCGGACCTGTCGATCCAGGCGCGCCGTTGCGCCGAGGCTTTGGGCGTGTGCATGCTCACGATCGAAATCGCCAGCGTCGTTAAAGCGATCAACGCCATGGTGCGCACAGTCCAGCGGAACCCGATCGCGGGTTCAAGCGACCGAAACATGATGGGGAGGACCAGGCTGTATTGCGAGAAAGTCAAAGTTAGCCCTATCCGGTGGGATACTTTCGTTTGTGTTTATTGACGATGTTCCGGAAGACTTACCCGCCCACGCCGCTCCCCGCAGCCGCGATGCCTGTTGCGACAGGCAATTTGGTCGAAAACCATGGGGAAAGAACAGCAACTCCCAGAACTGCGAGGCTGCCCATTCCGACACCAACACAGAGTCCCTGAGAGAGGAGGAGTTGCCAGAGGTTGCTGCTGAGACTCTGGCAGATGGAGCCAACGACAATGAGCAGGGATCCCACCCAAAGGAGCTGGCGCGCATAGCCCAGGTCAAAAACAGGGCCGGCAATGAAACCCAAAAACACCATTAGGAAGCTCTGCAAGGAGCCGATTGTGGAAATAGCAAATGGACTGTTGTCCCGCAGGAGGTCATCCTCATAGTAAGCCTGGAAGGTTCCGAAGCTTGCAACGAGGCCTGTCATCGCGCGTCAAGTCAGCCTCGGCTCGGTTCGGCACTTGCAATCAAGCTAAACATTTACACCACTATGCAACTGCTCTTGCACGTTGAGCAGTTGCGGATACGGGGGGTGACGTTGCAACGGCCTTGCGTTGCATCGAAGGGGATCGCTGAGTCCGAGGTTGCAGCTTACCCCATGTGTTGAAATAAATGAAAAACGACCCAAGAACCTGCAGCCACGCTTTCAAGCCACCGTTCGGAGGGTCCGCTATCTTGGGCTTGGCAGGAGTTATTTGTGGCGCTGATAGCTCGTCGATAGCATTTTCCTCGTCAATCTCGGAGAGGAAGTTCGGGCTGTCCTGGTCGGTGTCGTCGGGCCCTGTGGGCTTTTCCTTGTCCGAGGTAAATATCATGCTCCGGTCGGGATACCGTCGCATCGACGTGCTGGTGTCGATAGATTGCGTTTCCGTCGGATCGCCCCCCTCTGGTTCCCTCCTCAAGGCTGTGCCGTGCCTCTCCAACCTCTATCCCACGCGCGCCTGTTCCGCTGTGACTACGGATATGCCTTTACACGTCGATCCGAGTAATGCGAGGGCCAGGGATGTTGTCGTGATTGATTGGATGACGTCTCAATCCGGTCGGGTGCGATACCCTTTGGGAAACTGCAAAATACAGAGGCTAAACTCAAAGAAAAAGGTTTCGGATAGGCCAGGACAGGCTAAAGGATCGCCCGTGCAGATTGGATGGTGTGCAGATGTAGAAGGTCGCAGTGGCCTTTCAGCTCTCAATACAGGTCACTCATTTCACGTTACGAAGAGATTCGGGCTGGCAATCACTGGGTTGATGAAGCCTCAGAGGGCAGGTCCCATTGCAAATTCCTTCGATTAGTCTCGGTATTCAGGAGTGCCACCGGCGTTGAGGCATTTGAGCGCTCGTCGATACCTCGGACAAGTGGAGTGGCTCTTTGATAATTTTTGAGCGATTGTGGTTAGGTTACATTGGGCGGTGAATGAAGAAATGGTCTGCTCGGCCTGCTTTCGGGCATGCTCCGTAGCCTGGTGGTGGGGGTGTAGGTTTTTATTTCTATGTTTTGTTCGTTCCGAGCATCGTTCCGACATCCAACGTGATTCCGAGCCTGTGTGTCATCATCAATGCTCTTCTTCCCGTATAGGGTAAAAACAGGCATTGTCCGCCGTGTCTTCGTTGTCTCACCAGGAACCCAATGCCGGGGGCTCTGTTGAAAATTTCTTCCAAGGAATGGCGCGACAACCTACGGGGATTTTCAAGTCTATTCCTCCTAAACATGCAAATCATTACGGAAGCGCCCGACACTTGTTTAGTTACTGCATATGAGATGTAAAGCGCGTGTGATGACGTATGAATCCCAGTTCATCCCACCCGGAGTCATCCCACTTCCCTTGCCATCCTATGTTTGTTGCACTTTAATTCCGCAGTGACGGAACGGAACGTGGAGGTCTCGGGTGCCGGGCGAAATGCCGGATGGCAGAAACTCTGTGCCTTTCGGGCAAGCCAAAGGCACATGTTGGCTGCGGCTGGCTACGAATACAGCCAGCCCGCAGTAGCTTGTAGATTAGGTTGCAGATTCTGTGTTAAAGAATCGGCTCTTATCGCTGTTATCGTAAATACTACGCGTATCAAGCTCGGACTTCGGTCTTGGCTTCCCTGACAATCAAACGGCGATCCAGTCGGGCAGGTGATTGAAATTGCAGCCGCGCCCTACAACGGGTTCTGTATGCAAACGCCTGACTCTTACACCGGTGAGGATTGACAATATAGGACCCGGAAGAGCTTAGATCACCGCGAAGGCTCCAATTGGCTGAAATGCTGATCATACAAGATATCTCTCTAACGTCTAATGATACAATCCAATGATTGTTATGCTTTTGTGGTTCAACGCTCCCTTTCCCTGGCCTTTCTAAAAACAAACATGTTGACACAAACAAACAATGCCCCCTTTTTACTGGGTCAGGTAGGCAAGATACTCCTTCCAGCCTTCGCCCTGGCCGACATAGCCAATGTACATGTCTGGCCTGACGACAACGACGAACTCGTCATCTTCACCCACCCACTCAGCCGAAAAAACTGATGAAGAGTCTTCGGGGTCCGTCGTCGTACGAGGCTCCGCCTTGTGGGGGATGACCCTGAAGAATCTGGCCACATCCTTGAGACCATCTGCTGGGGCAGCTCCGCTGGCCTCCTGTCGTCCGATCTTCAACACCAGGTGCTTGCCATACTTGCCAGCGACAAGCTCATACAGACGCTTCGGCTCTTGTTCGGACGATGAGGGTGTCAGGTAGACGTCCGGGCAGCGCCGTCCAGCGGTCCAGAAGCCCGCCGTGGTGCCCTCGACAAGGGGCGAACCGGTGCCGTCGTAAGATACGCCCATGCCTAAAGAGAAAAATTAGCCGAAAACTCTTTTCGCTCGGTTTCGGAAACGTGGAGCCCCAGCAGAGCGCGGAACACCCGCACGCGCGCTTGTGCTTGGTGAGCCAGGGCGCACAGCATTCTGGAAGCGCGGTTTCCCCGTTTTCTCTGTGACCGATCTCCCCTTTTCTGGGGGCCAACGCAGAACAGAGTTTGGGGAAGCAGGATGAGCGCCAGCCCTGGGGGCCGCGGACGTCACGCTACGGATACTTGCTTAACCATAGGGAAAAAGCTTACCTGTGATGTACCCGGCGTTCTTTTCGATTGTGGAGACGTACTGCTTTGCAGTGTGGACGGTGTCTCTGACCAGGGCCGCTGCAACGTCGATGACGCCCTGGGCCACGGTGCGTCGCTCGATGTCGTAACTCTTGATCAACTTATCGACGGAAGCTTGGCTGAGCTTGTCGTTTGTGAGAACCTCGGCGAGTCTCCACGCCAGAGCGAACGAGTCAGCCACACCGGTGTTGAGGCCCTGGCCGCCGTTCACCGAGTGAACATGGGCAGCGTCACCTGCCAGAATGATGCGCCCGTCGCCGCTCTTGGAGACAAAGGTTCCTGCGATACGCTCCTTGACTATATCGACGTGTCAGCGAGTCCGAAATCGAAAGTCTCTTGCGTTGCTTTGGGGGCCACGAGGAGCGCGCTTACCATCAAACGTGCTGAACCACTCCGTCTTCTTGAAGTCCACCCGATGAGGTGCCATGTGCTCCCTGATGGAGTTCTCCGCCTTCTCTTGCGTAATCTCACCGTCCAGCAGGATGTAGAAGCGCGCCATGTTGCGCTCTCTGGGAATCCATGAGACTCTGCTCTGGCCGTTGAGCTGGAAGGTGATGATCTCGGAGCAAACAGGGAAGTCAGTGTCGATGAATGTGTCCAAAACGGCCCAGATCATCTCTGGCTTGGTCCCGGTGAAGCTGATGTCGAGCGCATTGCGGACGGTGGAGCGCGCACCATCGGCTCCCACCGCATACTTGCTGCGGATCGTGCGACCCTTGCTGGTGGTAACGGTAACACCTGCCTTGTCCTCCGCAATGGTCGAAACGGTCTCGCCGTAAGAGATCTTGGCCTTGAGCTTCTGCGCAAGAGCCTGCTCAATGACGGGCTGGCCGAGCATCAAGAAGTTCTTGCGATAGCAGTGCTCGAGGCCAGTCCACCAGTGGCTTTGGCGGGACTTGAAGTCGCCCTCAGCGAAGGTTGAACTTGCTGCATCACGGTAAGCATATGGACTCCGTTTGCGCAAGTCTTGGTAATTTCTTACTGTTGCAGGTAATTCCCTCAGGAAGAAGATCGTCGAGGATGCCAACAACCTCGAGAACCTGCTGGGTGCGCGCGTTCATCGCATCGGCTCTGCCGAGCTCCAGAGGACCTTCCTTTGCATCTTGATTTCGTCAGCTGTGCGCGCTCGACATTGAGACGCATTTACTCACCAATAATGCAGACGGAAACGCCCAACGACTCAGCCAGGTATCCAGTGAGAAGACCCGTCGGTCCACCTGAACATCAAAATTAGAGATGATGCCCGCATAAAAGCTCGGAGCCGAGCAAGGCTTACCGCCGACAATGGTCAAGTCGACCAGAGTCTCTTCTTCGCGAGGAATGGAACCCATTGTTGCAGTGAGTGGTGTATGTGAGTTTCCAATGTGTGTGTTGTGTTGTGCAAAGACAAGGGATGGGCAGAGGAAGGAGTGAGGAAGTGGAGGTGTTTCTTGAGCCGAAAAAGTGAAGCAAGCTGCAGATGTGATATCTTCAAACTTGGTGTAAGTCGTTTGATATGACTTTTGTTGCGGCAAGATATCCCCGAGTACGAGATCTCGCAAATCCAAGAGAAGAAAAAAGATCCGGGTCGGACGACTGCCGATTGCTAAGCCGATCAGATCAGAGGCGGAGATGTCGTCTTACGTGGTTGCAGATATTGTCCGATGGGAGGCGCACTAGATATCTGACAACGGGGGCTGAGACTGACACGGGGGTCCAGATCCGGGATGACAGTCGATGACGCCGAAAGCAGCTCCGTACATGTGCCGAGCACGGTGAGTCCGACGCTGGGCGAGTATCGCGATAATCATCTGATATCGGAGCGCGCCGGGGATGTTCCTGACATGGAATCGCATGCTACGTATTTGCTACGCACACGCAGCGAGTGGACGAAGTGTGGATGCACTCCGCAAAACGCCCAGACGTTGAGGCACGTCTTAGAACAACGACCTGACAAACTTGAATGCTCTTCCGACGATCTCAATGTGACATGCCACGACATGCCAATGTTGCAGCGCAGTGGCCCTCCCCGGCAATCTGGCTAGACCTGCCCTTGTAAGGAATCATCGCCGTCGCTATCCGGGCGTCTCCATGTCTGTCCGGACCGCGTCGCCCGGGGGTATTGGCCGATCGGGTAAGGCGTCTTTCGATTACTCGGGGGACCTTGTCCCCACAGCCGCGGGAGGATCCTGCCGCCACGGAATCTGGGCCATGTTTGCCCATGCTCAACCACATCTGCCGCGGCATCCATGGGCCGTCACCTAGTGGCGCCGTGGCTCGATTCTTTTTTGGGGTGGATTCAGGGCCCGGAGATGGACCCCCTCGCTCTCCACACACCTTCAGCCTGCTTGTGTTTTCTTATTAGTCCTAACGGTGGCTTTAACCAGGGTTTATCCACCTTCCTTGACGTCTCCCGCGCGGCTGCGACTGAGATCTTGGAAATCCAGCCAATCTTCTCCTTTGGGCCGCCTATGATGATGTTCCACACCCACGTGTGGGTCGCGGAACTGGCTGTCAAACCTGGCCCAAGCCCAGCTCACACACGCGGTGCATAACACTTTCCTGATCCTGCTGGGCCCGGGCAATACAGTGGGGTGGCAACCCTGACTCGATCGACGATTAGGATGGTGCCTGTAAAGAAAAAAAAATTGTCAATGCATGGGACGACAAGGCTGGAAGTATTTTGATCCCGTAGTTGTTTCCCTGGTTGGCTGGTACAGAACTAGTCTCCTATCGAACACCCTGTGGCGACATATCGAACAACCATGGAAACGAAAAGAGTGGACTTCGGGACAGGAGGAGTGGACAGCCACATTCGGAATATGCCCATTACGGAGACAGGAGCGACGGATGGCCAGATGTGACCTGATGCAGCTCTGCGGGCAGTGCCGTAGCTCCTTGCTGTAACCCCTTCCTTGCGATCATCATCTCCGAGAGTGGTATTTTGCATATGCAGCTTTGCGAAGACCAACGCCCAAGGCAGGTGCAATATAAGCCGGTTCTTCTTCCCGAGCATTCGGAATCAACTCCCCTCTAATCCAGGCTCAATTTGAGTTAAGAACAAGCTGCACCTTCCAGCCCTACTGAACTCTCTTTTGAGTGTTAGCTCCTTCTCTTGTCCAGGCCCTCCCCTACCTCAGTCTTTCTATCTAAGAGACAAGCAACTCCCACTGCATCTTCACACACTCATCTATTCATACCTTAACACATCCACCCACAAAACATGCCTTCTGCCATAGAAGTGCCGCCTCGACAGCCCTCTCCGGAGGTTAAGCTGCTCTCCAAGGTTGACTCTCAGATCATGGACGAAGAAGCTCTCACCACCGCCGCCGGCATCTTGGACATCATCTGCCGCTATCGTCTGAAGCGTGGTAGCACAGATGAGCTCGAGGGCAGGCTAGGCTTCCTCTCCCAGATCTACAGGAAAGTCAAGTCCCAGAGCGAGATTCGCATGTGCCTTCCTGCCTTCCCCTTCAAGTCACCCAACACAAGAGACAAGGTCCTCAGCCGTCTGCCTGATAAGGCGGATGAGTTCGCCCTTGCCAACCTCAACGGTCTCTGCTCAGCCATCAAGGACTACTACGAGCCCGGCGCAAAGCTCACTATCATCTCCGACGGACTTGTATATAACGGTACGCTAGCCTAACACTTTGATTCTGCTGCTTTCGACGCGACTAACAAAATTCTATAACAGACCTTCTTGGTGTCCAAGACAAGGAAGTCTGGGCGTACGGAGAGACTCTTCGTGGCATTGCCGCCGAGCAGCGCTTGACCAACATCCAGTTCTCTCGTCTCCAGGACCTCGTCCACCTCCCTAACCTCCCCAACAAGCTCGAGGAGATCACATACGTCGCCAACGCTACCAACTTCCGCCGGGCTCTCCTTAACACCTTCGGCAGAGCCGACTACGACCCCTCCAACGAGATCTCCAAGAACGAGGACACCTGCCTGACATATCGCGGATACATCAAGTTCCTCGAGACCGATTTGCGCCATGTCTACCCCGTCGGCGAAGACCGCTCCAAGACCAAGTTCAAGACCGGCATCGAGTACATCTCCAAGCAGATGCTGCAGCGCGGTGACGCCTTTGCGCGTGCTGTGCGCGAGAACTTCCGCGACCACATCCGTCTCTCCATCCACCCCTCCGTGGGCGAGACCAAGATCCCCATCAGCCCCTTGCCGACTACCACCTACTACACCACCCCCTGGCACTGCTCCATCGCCTTCAGCGTCAGCGGCGCCATTACCACCGGCCCCCGATCAGAGTTCGAGAACGACCCAAAGTACGAGCTCGTCTACGAGGACGGCAGACCCAGCTACTTCCGCGAGAAGAGCGACCTCTACAACTGGGACAAGGACGTGACCTTCGAGCCTATCTACCCCTGCGGCGTTGTCATCCGCCCGGCCGCCGGCCCCAAGAAGCTCTCCATCCACGACATCGACGCCAAGAAGGTCCGCGCCCTGTCCGAGGTCAACTCTCCCGTCATCATGCGCGGCTTCTCCAAGACCAAGGACCGTGACCTGTTCGTCAAGAAGTCCGAGGAGTTCGGAACGCCCCTCCCGTGGAAGTTTGGCCTTGTCCTCGAGGTCAAGGACCAGGGTGCCGATACCCGTGGTCTGAATAACGTTCTGTCAGCCGAGTGGATGCCCTTCCACTTCGATGGTCTGTTCAAGACCCACAAGGTGCCCCAAGAGGACGGAACTGAGAAGCTTCTTCCCAACCCTCCCAAGTAAGTCCACTTCCAGCGGCACAGCAGTGCAGATCCGATGACCCGGAGCTAACCCACTCCTGCAGGTTCCAGTTCTTCACCTCGGTCACGCCCTCACCGAAGGACACCGGCTTCACCCTCTTCACCCCGTCCCGCCTCGTCTTCCAGAACCTGCCTCCCCACCTGCCTCTTGAGAAGCTCTCCAAGCTCACCTGGAGCGTCCAGACCAGCTCCTTCGACGCCACCAAGATGACCGGTCTCCCTCTTGTCACCCCCCACCCCGAGACCGGTGAGGCTTGCATCCGCTACCACGAGCCCTGGCCTCAGTCCAAGACCACCTTCGATGCCACCTACGTGAACATCGAAGGCGTCAGCGAGGAGGAGAGCACCGAGATCTGCAACATCCTGGACTCCCTGTTGCACGACCGGAGGAACACGCTCTACTTCTCTTGGGAGGAGGGCGACCTGCTCGTCAGCGACAACGTCTTGGCAATGCACACCCGCAGTGACTTCAAGGCTGGTTCGCCGAGAGAGTTGTGGCGCATTCACTTCGACTAAGCGTTTGATTGCATTGGGTTGGAGCGAGTATTCTTGCATTGTACATAAAAGGTTGTAAAAGTTGCAGCATGGCTTTAGGATTCCCTCTCTGTTCTGTTTAGGTTGGCATAGGCATCTTTTGGTAGATTGAAACGAATCACATCACTTATGATTGATACACTACTCTTTTATGACGTGACATGTTTGTATTGCACACCAAGTCTATCGTCGTCTCATCTTAGTCCCTTAAGCACTTTGGGGCATTCTTGATGTTGACGGTAATGACTTTTAATTGGTCAGGAACAAAATTTGTCGAGTTCATCAACTCAGACTCACAGAAAGGTTCATAACTGCAAAAAAAAGCTCAGCAGAGAAGCAACTTAGTTTAGTTACCAATGGTCGTTCAGAAAAATCGCTGCAACAGAGTACAAAAGTCCCATTAACACCTACTAGCCAACCAATCATAGTTGCGCCTTCGTTTCCAACATCCGCCTGCCCTTCTCCAGCTCTTGAGTCAAGTCGTACTTCCATATCCAATCCATGCGGGTCGACAAGTTCTCGGCGATCCACTCCGGGTCGTCCTTCAACTCCAACTCGTACAACTGTCCCTGCTCGCGGCTATCCGTGACCAAGTTCTGTGACCTCTCCTTTCTCGTCTTGTTGTATACAGCAAACGCAGGCTCAATCTCTTCAGGGCTGGAGATCAAACTCAACAGGTTGCCCATGACGTATGCATCCTCAATCGCCATGCCAGCTCCGGAGCCCTTGTGAGGTGTTGACGCGTGGGCTGCGTCACCGAGGAGGCACACCCGTCCCTTGAAGAATGTGTGGCTGGGCGGGTGGTCGAATAGGGCCCAGACATCGGGCTTTTGCATCATCTGGATGATCCGACGGGCTTGCTCACTCCAGCCTTCAAAGTCGGCAAGCATTTCCTCCTTGTTGACTGACACGACCCAGTTGTCTGATTTCCAGTCGTCTTTACTGCGCATAGCAACCACTGAAGCCTTTTGTTAACATCGAACGCCCTTTTGAAGCGTCTCTGTTGCAAACTTACCATTCATGTATTTGCCTTTGGCTACGGAAAAGGTCAAAATGTGACCATGCCTCCCGCAGTACATCTGGGCGTTCCCGGCCAGCTCTTCGCCAAGCAGTTCTTGAGCTTCCTCAATGGGAATCAGTCCTCGATAAGCGCACTTTCCAGAGAAGACAGCCTTAGCGGCTGGATCGTTCTCTCCCAGCATGACGCTGCGCAACTTGGACTTAATGCCGTCGCAAGCAATCACCGCATCGTGTCTCGCTGTCGTGCCGTCCTGGAACTTCAACAACACGCTCTTCCCATCATCCTCATAGTCCACACAGCGCTTGCCAAACTTGGCAATCCCGTCCGGCAGCAGCTTCACCAGCTCATCCAGAAAGTGAGCGCGGTGAATGCTCGTCTGCCCGCCGTCACACTCCAGGCGGTAGATCAGGTCGCCCTCCCGGTGCTTGCCGTCGCAGGACTCGCCGTACCTGAAGTCGAACCACACGCCCTTGTGGTCTTCCGACTGGTTGTACGTCGCCTGGGCTTCGAACGCGTTCCGGACGTGCGGCGAGATCAGGGACATGGCCCTCAGCGCGTTGGGCCCGAACGAGACGCCGGCCCCGATCTCTCCGAACTGCGGCGCCTGCTCGTACAGCGTTGTCGGGATCCGCTGGAGCAGGAGCTGGAGAGTCAGCGTCAGGCCGGCGATGCCGCCTCCGACCACAGCGACGTTGAAGTCCTTGTTCGGAGACAGGCAAAACTCCGGCGGCGGCGTCATCTTCGATACGTGTGGTTGAGAAGTGAGAGGTGCCAAGGAGGAATAGAGTTCGGACGCGGAAATGAATAGGACGGGCACGTGCTGTCTGTCACCTTTTCGCAGTGTGCTTTGAAACGAATAATCGAGCTGACACAAAATTCTTTGGTCTTGTCTCAAGGTGAAGGTATTTCTATGAAGATATACATGGGAAGAGTACACGGCACAAACCACCAGAAATGAAAACACTTGCAGCAGAGCTTGTCCCTTACAGCCTCACCGGCGACTCGGATGAGACCTATGACGCCGACGACGACAAAATTGAATGACAGCACCCACCGGGAGGACCCATCGGCTGCCACCGACAATTCTTGCCGATAGTCCCGGGCCCCGAAATTCAACGGACAACCTGCGTCGATGATCTTCGGATGGGGCGTCCACGTTGTGCTGACGTTCTTGCGGTGGCGTATTGGCTGGCGCTGTCGGGTCACGGGTTATGCATCTTCGGCTTCGGGAATTGGGTTGATTCTAGAAAGTCCACCAGCTGCCTAGCCGAAGCAGCCTTCGGGTGACGGTTTTTAGGGGCGTGCGTTGACCCGGGTAGTATCACTTCTTACTATCGGCAGTGAGGGGAAACGAGGGGGATGGATGAATGGGGATCATGCATCGAACTAATCTTGTCCGTTGCATGCTCTCCGAAACTTTAAAGCTTCGGCTGTTCAAGATTGTTCGATGTCTCTGAGCGTTGAAGAATTGCCATGTGGGCGCCAATGTGTGTTAGTTACCCCAGACGCCACAAAAAAATGTCCGTCTAATTTTAGTCTTGTCGATAGTTCCTGTCGCACCGCCCTGGCCGGAGCCCGATCCGAGAGGCACTCAATGCCTGGGGAAATTCGGGTATCTTCCCCAGATTCCCCGGATTCTGTCAGGATGAATCTCAAGATCCAAGGAAGGGACGGTGTTTCCCACGGGGTGGGAAAGAGTTTAAAAGGCCAGCCCCACCGCTGTCATTGAGTCACGGTGATGGTCAGACCTCAGACTGGCTTTTGAGTTCCATCAGACGGCTGCAACAATGGCGACTAAACCAACCTTCATCTTTGTACCTGGTGCTTGGCACTGCGCGACTCGCTTTCGGCCTGTGACTTCGCAGCTTGAAGCTCTCGGATACAACACTGTGTCCGTCCAGTTGCCTTCCTACGGAGCCAACCCACCGCTGAAGGACTTTGAGCCCGACGTCGCGGCGATTCGGCAAGCAATTGAGAAGGCTGTCGACAATGGCGAAGAGGTGGTGCTGTTCATGCACAGTTATGGCGGTGTAGTTGGCTCTGAAGCCTGCCGAGGGCTTGATACAGCAACACGTAAGAGGGAGGGCAAGCCGGGGGGCATTGTCCGCCTGATCTTTTGCGCTGCTTTTCTGCTTCCAGAAGGTAACAAATGAAACCATTTCCTAGTGGCTTATATGACAGAGACTAACCGGCTAAAAGGGATCTCACTCATCGACATGCTCCAAGGTCAACCATTGCCTTGGTTCAGGTTGTCAGAGAATGACACCATCGTCGACGCCGAACGGCCCATAGAAATATGTTACAACGACCTTGACGAGAAGGCGGCCGCCGAGGCGGTGCTTGGGCTCAAGTGCCACAGCTACAGAACGTTTTTCAGCAAGCTCACGTACGCAGCCTGGAGAGACATCCCGGTGACTTACATCCTCTGCGAGCGGGACAACGCGATCCCGCCGCCAGCGCAGCAGCAGATGATCGATGCCTCTAAAGTGGATGTTGTTATTGAACGGATGGATGCTAGTCACTCGCCATTTTTGAGTAGGCCTGATGATGTTACTGCGGCATTGAGGCGGTCAGTTGGGGAGGTCTTTTGAGCAAGTTGTTAATGTCAACGCGTTTATTTGCCTGTATGAGCTGCATTCTTGTCTTGGTAAGCGACAACTAGTAATGGACTATGTTTCCGCAAGTTTTCGGAGTCACCACTTGAGGTCCTAGTATCGCTCATGTTATCGACATAAGCGACATGAAAGTAAGGGGCAGCTGGGTTACTGGGTATGAACCCACGAGCGAACTTAATTCGTGTTTTTCTTGGTCATTGCGGTATCATTAATTCGTACTGTCGCTACTTTACATGTGCATATATGTCATCGTTCCCCTCAACATGGTGGATCAAGTAACGCACCAGTTTCCGGCATCATCATCTCATCGGTGTATCCCAGATGTGACAGGCCCACGTCCATGGTAGGAAAGAATGGCATGTCATGTGCGTAAGAATCGAATAGCAGCGTCCGTGGTGACATAGGAAGTAAGATGTCGGTCGACGGTGTCAGAGCCTGAGTGATATTGGAACCTCTTGCTTGCTCCGCTCCGCCCAGCGGGTGACTATCGGAGCTCCCTGTTGTTAGGGAAGCATTCTGGTCTATGTTGCTCATCTCTTCCGCATCCGAAGTGCTGTGTAGCCTTTGACCGCCGAACATCCGGGACTCACGACCGAAACTTGTGGACCCCATCCTTGAAGCGTCATTCGATAGTGACGCACCATCATGAACGCTTCCGAAGAGCTCGCCTATGAGCATTCCTTGGCACTCCATTTTACGCCGAGCCCTACTTTCTGTGTACAAGACACAGGCGCCTTGCAGATGTTCAACTATGGACAACTCCCTATTTGCGACTGGATCATGCTTGCTGAACCGTTGTAGGAGCGCCTGGGCGTCTGCTAAGCTCTTGTCAAGCGGGAAGGTGCTGTCCAGGTCACCGAACACGGCAAGACCAAGCACCAGAGCCGATACGAACACCGAGTTGATGACGAAGGGATGTCGCTTGGAGACGTTCTTATCGGTGATGAGGCCGGATAAAAGGTCGATGGTGCGGATTGCCGAGTCTACGCAAGCGTGGACCAGCAGTTGATCAGATGATGATGAGAGCTGTGGCTCGTCATGCCATGTTGACATGTTTTGTAACCGAGCCATGTTCCTTGAGACAAAGTCGATGAGAAATGGTCGTGAAAGTAACATGATGCTCCAATAGTATGCTTCTTTCATGTGGTAGAGTCCCACGTTGGGGTACTTCTCACCATCCTCTGCTTCAACATACATGCCTGACTTTACGCCATCGGCGGCAAGACCATCGCTGAACCGTGCAGCCCAGCGACGATGTTGTTCGCTGATGCGCTCCAAGGTGTCTGTCGTGACCATGCGCTTGGCGTAGACATCGTTGAGGATAGACTCAAAGATGGAACATAGCTCCAGCGAGGCTGAGTGGTTGTCGGTTGATGAGAAGTCCCGGGATTCTGTAGTGGCCAAGGGCCGTCCTAATGAAGCCGCAAGAAACAAGTCTAAAACTCGAAGGGCTTTCCACAGACGCTCCCTAGTTTCTTGCTCATGAATCGGGAAGAGAGATGAGTTGTCTCTTTTGTGTATACCCAGTGCATGAGCTGCGCGGACTGCGACGCCGAGGTGCATGAAAGCTGAGTTGCGCCTGGATGCACCAAGGAGATAGACGGTGATCAAGACGTAGGTGCTGACGGTGTTGTTCGTTGGATTCTCCATTGCGTATGAGACCGCCAGAAACCGTCCATAGTTGAAATACTTCTCGGCGTCAGCGTCTCGATCATCAGGACATCTCTGAGCCCCGATGCCGAACGTGAGGAAGAAGATGCAGTTCATGGCTTCTTCATCGTGACTCGTCGGTTCCCCACGGAGCCACTTTTCCAGATCCTTCAAGAGCTCTGCTTCGTCAAATACCTCGAGTATGCAGTTGGTTGCCCGCAGGTACCACCGGAGTAGGTACCTTGCCTGTTCGGGGCTGGGCTTTGCTGGGATATCTGCTGGGTTGGTGATGATCCATTTCGGGCGTCCTTCTGGAGTTGCCTCAACCATGAGATGTCTCAGGGGATCATCAGTGAACGGGCACGACCCGACGCGGTCGCGGACCAGCCGGCGGATGACTTTCAGGAAGGCCAGGTTGGCGGCATCGCCAATGAACATGAAGCGGCCGCGGCCATCGCCAATGAGCCGTGAGATCTGCGGTACCACCGTGTTGGGCGAGAGATGGCACACTTGCGAAGATGCGCGTCTGTGGTGGTGGTTCGGCGAGACGCCGTGGGCTTCTTGGAAAGAGGCCGTTGAGCCATATGAATGGAAGATGTCTCCTCGACTTGCCGGGCTTCCGTCAATAGCCACACGCTGCTGCTGCTGCGTTGGAGGAGGACTCCTCGCCGATGAAGCTGAGCCCTCGGGCGGGAAGGTTGTTGTCGTCGGACCGCTGAAGGAACAGTCGCTCTCGACTCTGCGGATAACGCACCGCCTGCAGGGCTGCTGGCCGTCGCAGCGCTCTTTCCGCCGCTTGCAGTTGCCGCAGGCTTTGACGCATCTGCGCCGTTCGCTCTGTCGGACCCTTTTCGTCGGCATTGTCTGGATGCTGAAATCTTACCCAGAAACCCTTAATCTTCTCGTCTCTCTTCCGAACTGAACTTCTTGTGAAACGCAAATCGTGCGCTGGGTTGGTTGGTTGGCTACGGCAACGGCGAAAACGGGAACGCGTGGCAAAGAGGGAAAAAATTACCGCTATGATTTCTTGGGTCAAACAGCCAGCCCAGCCTGCCTGCTGCTGCAGTGTGCCAAAATCCGGGGCAAACTCGCTGCGGCACAGCAGCCTCAGCTCCTGCGGGGGAACGCTTTTCCAGGGGGGCTCCCAGGTCATCAATTTCCCCAGATTTTGCGCCCCTCCACGGCGCGGCATGCCGGGCGACTTGATAGCCATGACGGGGCCAGGGGGGGTAGCAACTCAGAAGCAACGGGGGAAGGTGTAGAAAGGGACGGTCCAATGAGCTAGTCCATTTTGACATCTGTCGTGACAGCATTGGTTGTTCTTCTTTCTTGAAGAATCGGGCTTTGGGGCGGGATCGTCGGACGCTTAGCTCGGCACACAGCAGAGTGCTGTATCCGCGGCTCTCAATGCAAGATACAGCTAGGGTATCACAGACTATTGGCCAAGATGGACGACCAATCGCCACTAGCCATTTCCAAAGAGGAAACAGTTGTTGAATGTCTTGTGTAATGCTCTCTTTTTTATCTCCTCTGCCCGCCCACTTCAACACCTCAACCTCAACCAAGTCTTGGCTTCTCAGTCGCTCCATGATGGGCTTTCCCCGCAGTATCGGCATGACGGCAGTGAGGCCCAAAGACGATCAACATGAAAAGTGACAGCAAAGGCGGAGCGGTGAATAATTGACCGAGACAGCAATGCCGACACTCCTTGTCTCTCTGGACAACACTTCGCAAGAAAAGTAGATAGCAAAGTGGTAGTCGCCATGTCCAATAAGCACGAGACGCCGAGGGCCCTTATCCGACGTGTCAAGCCCTCATCCGACAACCCTCTCAAAGCCGAGAAAACCCCCATGTCCGAGCACGCCCAACCACCCAAGTCAGCGCCGCCCCCCAAACTAGACCCGCAGTAGCGCTCATAGCGAAGACCCGGATTCCGACGATATCGGAAGCCGGGTCCTTTGGATGCTCTTCCCGAAGGGCAATTGCGTTGCTTTCATTGGAAGCGCAGCAATGGCCACCCGATACCCGATTACGGGTCCGACGTTTCGATGTTCGTCGCTGTGACACTGGGCCACGAATCGGACGGAGGAAAGAACGAGAGCGAACGGATTATTGGCTCTTGGGACGACGGCAAATCCCAAACTCGACCAAGGAAGAATGGATGCTCCTCTCCGAGGGTTGATGGAGCTGAAGGTGTGATAGTCACGAGGCGCAAAGACGTGAAGTGCGGGTACGGGATAGTACTACATGAACGCACCCCGGCCGGCGCTCTCTTATCACTTGTGTTAGCTGGATTTCCTCCCCAGCTAGGGAGTTTTGACGTCTTTTTGCATCGACAAAAACTCATCATGGCCGAGAAAGCATATTCAGCCGTCGCTGAAACGAAGCGCATTCTGGACTTTGTCCTCGACACCGTGCAGATACCTGCTGAAGCTGAAAAAATCACCAAAAATGTGCAGCTCACTGCGACTCGCGACCTGCCGTACTTTCCTATCCCCTTTAAGGAAACGGAGTTGGCCTCAGCTTTGAAGGCCATTGAGGGTGGTGTTGCTGGAGCGCTTGCAGCTACCAAGTTTGGAACCAACACTGAGCCAAAGGTCACAGTGAGCTTGGAGAAGAGCACTGCGTTCTTGATTCAGGCGTATTTGGCGACTGTTGGCGGCTATGGAAAGTTGGACAAAGAGGTCAAGAAGATGCTAAAAGGTGAGCTCACAATCATCATTCTCACCACCGGGTGAATCAAGTAGATCTAACTGTCCCAGACACGGACTTGCTGAAGGCGCAGTCCGATCCGTACCGTCGCATGTCGGCAAACTTGTACGAGACTAAGTCAAGAGGAGAGTACTACCATATTCATGGATCACTTGAGGCATCAACGACTCTTGGCATGATAGGCTTGGAGCCGTTCAGACCGGACCTGAAGGATGATCATGACGCAATTGTCGATGCAATTGAATCTCATGTAAAGAATTTCACCACCGAAGAGCTCGAGCGCATGAATGCAGAGAAACGCCAGGCTGGCGTACCCGTACTCAAGCATGAAGACTTCCTCCGCACACCTCATGTGAGTCAATCTCACATCTCACATTTCCCATCTGATATTGACGGATCTACTTACAGGGCAAGACAAACGTCAGCCTCCCTCCATGGAGCGTTGACAACCTGGAGAACTCAACACCTCCAACGCCGCTGCCTAGCACATCTGACAAGCGCATCCTGTCCGGTGTCAAAGTGCTTGAGCTGTGTCGCATCATCGCTGGGCCGGTAATCGGACGTATCTTGGGCGAGTATGGCGCGGATGTATTGAAGATTACGAGCCCCAACCTCAGCGATGTCCCATTTTTCCAGGTTGATGGCAACATGGGAAAGCATGCCGCCGACCTGGATCTCAAGACGCCAGAGGGAAGAAAGCAGTTTGAAGCCCTGCTAGCGGAAGCGGATGTCGTTCTTGACGGGTATCGGCCTGGTGCCTTGGAAAAGCTCGGTTACGGCGCGACTGCTCTGACCAAACTCGCCAAGGACCGCGGAAAGGGTATCGTCTACGTCAACGAGAACTGCTTCGGGTATCAGGGCGAGTGGGCTTCACGGCCTGGATGGCAACAGATTGCAGACTGCGTGAGTTCAGTCCCTTGCTATTGCCGATCATCGACTAACATGATCATAGGTCAGCGGTGTGGCTTGGGCGCAAGGCCGCTTCATGGGGCTGGATGAGCCGGTTGTTCCCCCTTTCCCCATTTCTGATTACGGAACGGGCTGCATGGGTGCCATTGCGGCTCTAACCGGTCTCTACAACAGAGCTACCAAGGGTGGCTCGTGGCACGGCAAAGCATCTCTCCTGCAATACGATCTGCTCCTCATCAAAGTTGGACAGTACCCAGAAGAAGTCAGGCGCGAGCTGTTGAAGTTGGCGGGCGACGACTTCCTCGCTCTGAGACACAGTCACAGCGTCGATCAGATCTCAGGCACGGCACTGAAAGCCATGAAGCGCTATGCGCCGGAGCTTTTCAGCTCGAAGGAGATTCGCGAAAAGTGGTACTCCAAGGGATACAAGGCAGAGGTTGAGGCCGTAAGACCTGTGGTCAAGATTGACGGCATCGATATTGGATTCAAGAGAGCGAGCAGGCCAAACGGCACAGATCCAGCAAGTTGGGATTTCGGACCGGAAGAGGATCATCTGATAGAAGGTCACACCAACGGTATCAACGGCACGAATGGCGTTGTGAAAGGTTGAGCTTTGTACACCGTAGACGACTTGTGGACCCTCAACCATGATAAACTAATTCTTGTGTAACTTTCTCAATGCCTTATCGCAACTACAACTCAATGCACGTTCGATTGAAACATTTCAATCGAATAGTAGCAATGTTCAATCATCAAGGCACCATGCTGGGCGACCAACATCCAAAGCGACGTGACAGAATAGGGTCCAAGATAGCCCCGCCCATACCCGCCGGTGCATTTCCCGACGCGAAGCCGACCGTTTCGGGGACATGCCAACGCACCATAGCAACACAGAGACATGAAGTCACAGTCACGACTAGCAGCGGACCGCCACCACCACCATCCCCATCCTCCCGCGCGCGAATCTCCACAAAGATAACCCAAAGTGCGGGGGCCCCAGTCCACGAAGCACCGGGCCACGGGCGTCGTCAGGCCAGACTCGCCAGAAAATGGGAGATCTCGGCAGATGCCCCTCGCGTCGGATCCTCTTCCCCGTACCCGAAATGGGAATACCACCCCGGAACCGGGGGGCGTATCCGGCCCAAAAGCGAACAGAGGAGTCGACGGCCGGCAGTACCCGCCGGGCACGTGCAATCAACTGACAAAGCAGGAAAAATGGCGAGTAATACACGAACGATGATTGGGATAAGTATCTTTCCCTCCAACTGCGGGACGGAGAACAAAGACCACCTGTGGCGTAACTTAATTCGTCTTAAGTAGCCTGTCTGCGAACCATCCTCGACCTGCTCATCGCCGGGCTTCACCATCTCGCAGTTTTGTCGTGAAAGAAAAAACACACTCAATACTATCAATCATGGGCTCATTACAGAACAAAGATGTCGGTCTCGGCCAAGACTTCACGAAGCAGGTCATTGCCTCCATGGGCAAGGAGACCGACCCCAGGCTCCGTGTCATTCTCACTTCCTTCATCCAGCACATCCATGACTTTGCGCGCGAGGTCGATCTCACCACGGATGAGTGGATGATGGGTGTCAACATGATCAACTGGGCGGGCCAGATGAGCAACGACCGTCGCAATGAGGGCCAGCTCCTGTGCGACGTTATTGGACTCGAATCGTATGTATCACAATCACAGAAAATGCCAATTTGAGTGAGACTGACGCCGGAAACAGGCTTGTTGATGATATCACAAACCGGGTGGCGACGAGGAACGGCCAGCCCGGCACCGCGACGGCTATCCTCGGCCCCTTCTGGCGCGCCGACACTCCCGTTCGCAGCAACGGCAGCACGATCGTGCTCAAGGTCCCAGAGGACGGTCAAGTTGCGTGGATGTACGGTCAAGTAACATGCTCCAACACCGGAAAGCCGTTGGCCAACGCGTCGGTTGATGTCTGGCAAGCCTCAACAAATGGTATGGAACCCCTGAATTTGCAGATGCAGGGACCTCGATCTGATATGTTTTTTTCTTTTTTAGGTTTGTACGAGCAACAAGATGCCGATCAGCCTGAACACAACCTGCGTGGTGTGTTCAAGACTGACTCGGAGGGCCGCTATGGCTTCTACTGCCTGCGACCCACCCCCTATCCCGTGAGTATTGACGCTGAATGGTTGCGAACAATTTCCTTGCTGACATGATGCATAGGTTCCCGACGATGGCCCAGCTGGCAAGCTGCTGGGACTTCTTCACCGCCACCCATACAGACCGGCTCACATTCACTTGATTGTAAGATACTCCTAACTCCTGCCACTGTAAAAGCATCCATCCTAACAGCTCTACAGGTCCGCTCAGAAAGCTTCCAGTCTGTCACGACACAAATCTTTGACGAGGACTCTAAGTACCTCGAGGATGACTCTGTTTTCGCAGTGAAGGATGGCCTCACCGTGAGATTCTTGGAAAGGAAAGGCGATGCCAAGGCTCCCTGGGAGCTTGAGTACAATATCAAGTTGGTCCCCAAGTAAATAGCATGACGGAACGGCGTTATTATCCTTGGCGTTTGGTGGCTTCATGAGATAAAGATTGATATCCACTTGGTAACTGACAGCTGGGACCCGTGCGTGACTATTACAGAGTGTTTATGGACGATGGGGTTTCACAATTGCTTCAAGCCTCCCATAAGTAAACCGTTTTTCGAGAAGACAGGAAGAAAAGCCCCCACAGCACAACCTACAGTTAGTGAAGGCTGCCGGAGATCTCGAAAAAACTATGAATCACTTGCGCTCAACTCCAATTCACTATACTATGCGCAGAGTTGGGCACGACAAGTCTTCGGACATGAGATGATGCCTAGGACAAAGTTAACTTCATGTTTTCTGCTAATCACTGATCATGTCTATTGTTCACCATGTTCCTCGTACAGTCATGAGACCCTATAAAAGGTTCGCGTTCCCATTTGGAAACTTAGTTCCGATCTATCACAAAAGCAAGCACAAGAAACCACCCCATCGACAGTTACAACTTGTCACCTTCAACGCTCAAACTAGTAATCATGGCCGTCCCTTCTCCTCGCCCTATTCCCCCCGCCCCTCGCTCTCCTCCTAACACCCCCAGCGGTGGCAGCCCGGCCAAATAAAAAGCCAATTGCTTGCGGACGCACCAAGGCAAGATCAAGACTCAATGTTTCGAGCACGCGGCGTATGACTCACTAAGTCTCTCAAAAGCTTCTCATTACCGGATACATTAGAATAGTAATACAGTCTCTGATCAGAGAAAGTCCCTTAGGGCTCAAGCTTCCAAGATACCTAAGGAGTACATTACAGAGAGAAAGCCGAAGTGATAAAACCCAGCCAATGCAATGATCCACAAAAAATAGTCGAGTACTTAACATGTCTAGCTTCAGTGCAGATCAACCTGATGGGTGCTCAATGCGGAAGATTTGTTCCAGGACCTCAACTGTTTTGCAGAAAGATATTATTTAGATGCGAACCTCTTTCAAAAATTTGTCCGCACATGTTTTCCGCGGCTTGAAGTATGCTCTTTGACTTTTAGCAGTGCAGATAGAAAGTTCCATGTCCGCCCCCTATGGGAAACCTTTCTTTACATGATGCTATCTTTCAAACTTGGGAGTCTACCCGCTCTCTCAGGTAAATCATCTTTGATCAATTTCCTCGGAGTAGTCCTCGCTCTCCCAGGAAGGCCAAGCCGGAGCAGGGCTATTGCTACCAGAACAGTTCGAGTAGAAAACTGGATTCTCAGGCTCCACGTCCTCGTCTAGGCCAACAGGATACGTTGGGAAGACTCCCACGGAGAAGCTACCAGGTGTTCCCTTTCCATGGGACCAGAACATGCGGAAAGGTATGAACTCAGAGGCGTCCCTGAAATAGACGAAAAAGCGGTAAGGCCACCCGTTATCGTTCGGCACGACGATATCGGCGTTACTGGCGTTGAAGGCCCCAGACTTAGCCTTGTCACCGAACCACACAAACATGACATCCTCGCGTGGGGTTTCGGTCACGAGAAACTCGTAAGCGCCGGGTAAGGTGGCTTTTATATAGCCGCGGTGCACAAGGATGTTGCATCTCATACTAGATCCAGGGGGACCTTCGACGCCGCCATAGTTGATGGGCACGCTGTCATCTCGCTGTTAATAATCAGGATACCGCTCAATGCCGACCCCAACAGGACGTCGGTCTTGGAGGAGACCTTTGATGTCGTAGTTGGGAGGCTCGAAGTATGGGTCTTGGAGCATATTCTGGCACAGGTCCGACTCCTCTTCGATAATATGGAGCGCTAACTCTGCGCCGATTGTACACGAAGGAGAGGGAGAATTGGACGTGGGGCTTGCGGTCCTCGTGACAAGAGGCGTGCTGATGATCTGTGAAGATGCGATGCTGCTGGTCGTCGTTTCCGCTCCCGCCACTATAGTGATGGTGGTGGCCTTGATCCCGGTGAAGCATTGGCAGGCGGACCAGTAGGCGATTGGATCGGGACAAGCGCTGGCATAAGTAGGCTTGATACCCGTGACAATCGGCACCGAGGGCTCTTCGCGCGATTGCGGTGTGTCAGTGGGTGGTCTGATACATGTCAGCCGATGATTGTAATGTCCGAAAGACGTGGCACAATCCATACCCACGTGCGACTGTGACATAGGTAGTCACGAACTCTGAACACAGAGATGATCTTGTGGAGAGAGGGGGGTCTCGTCGTCCTGCTCCGGCGACTTGCCGACCGCAGTTATTGTTGCAGCTTTCAGCAAGCACCAGCGCGGACGCAACGGAGAATATGGTCAGGAATGTGGAAATATTCATTTCGATGGAAGTAGAATGGCCCCTGTTGGTGAAATCTGAACTTCACCCTGATGTTGAGGAACAGAGAACGCGGCCGAAGTTGTGCGAGTAATCTTAGGCTTAAGTGCCGAATATCTACAGCTTCATCAGAATTACGCAGCATATTTGGACCATCTCGAGATGACTTATGTCTTAGCGCGTCGCATGGAGTGGTGGTGTCTTAACCTCATTTCCCCAAGACAACGGCTTGACCGCGTGATGTTATGCTGCCAATGTTGACAACGCGGGGCATGAACTCAGCTGTAAGGGATCAGCATATGAGGTCTCGGAGCGTGGAGGCAAACAGGCTGAGATATTGTTTTTATTTCTGAGCCACTCAGCTCTACATTCGACGGTGGCTTATGAAGGGGGAGCTGTACTGAGGGCACCACTATTCCTAAAATGGCTGCGGCTGGACAGAGGTGCAGCTAAGTGTTTTCAAGTCAGATACACGACGCAGACACTCTGAGAGGCGCAATTGGGTTTGGCATTGTTTCTCCCTAAGACTTGTCTGATCAAGTAAACTGCTATATGCTAACATCTGATTCTTTTTTCTAGATCTAAATATCTGAACTGCTCTGGGATCGTGAAGGATCAACCTAGAATGCGCACGCAGGCCCAGACATTAGCCCGGAGGCCGCCGCAACCAGAGTGACCAACGTTATTCCAAGTTGGGTGGGTTGCAGTGTCGAGATGCCGTCAACGGCGGCGGCGGTCATCGCAGTCAGGGAACGCTTGTCTGAGTGCCTCCAATTGCACCGACGCAGACGTTGCCGTTGGTCCAAAGGCCGCCCCAGGTCTTTAACTTCAACGACGCGGGTTTTCCTCTCCTGATCAACGATCCATGGTACCGGACTGGGATGGTGTGGGCATCGATTAGGCGAGATACCTTCTGCCTCCTCTTGTAGTGACCCAGGATCATGTTCTTCCGCGCCAAAGAGATGGTGATGTTACTTTTCATAAGAGGATGGCTTCGGCATCATGGATGACCGAATTCAGTCGCAGCGTGCGACGCCAGAGGAGTTGCTGGGGCATCTGGGGATCTTGCCTTATCGCTCACCTAACTGCATTGACGAGAAGGCGACTCTGGGGCTTGATGTGAACGGGAACCCCATACCGACTTCCCTCGAGGCCACGGCGACGGCAGTCGATCCGATGGAGACCGGGGCCTTTGAGCGAAGACTTCCGGCCATGACTGGTAGAAGCTTGCAGGAGAGTCTCTCAACAGCAACGGTGACACTGACGGTAACTCCAAGAGCATAAGTATGTTTGGCTTAGTGGAGAAAAGTTGATGTATTAGAGCTTTGTATGTACTGGAGTCGATACAGTGGCGTTCAACAAGATAAGTAGTCGCTGAAATCAACACATTGAGAGATCGTATGCACTCTCTGGGAAAATCTCACCATACTTCATGACAGATCCAAACAAACATGTGGAATAAGGTCTGGATCCTCCCTCCACTTAGAAAGAAGCTCTTGTCTGTCTCGTCCAAACTTATGTGAATCGAATCCTTCTTCATAACGCTCCTCGACTTCGCCTGCGGCACGATAAACCTGCTCAGAGTCACGCGCCCAGTCCTGCTCGCGGAAATCAGCTGGCCAGCCGTAAAGTCTCAGTGCCTTGCCAATCACCTGGCCAAGAATTTCCTACCAACAACTTTTCAGTTTACAAACACTCAGACCTTATGACTAGGCTACTGTGTCGAGCTTACAGATGAAGTGCTCCAGTATTCGCCTTGACTTGAGGCTGGAACCAGTTCAAGATCGAGTACATCCTGAATCCACGTCCGCAGGACGGTCGGCGCATGGTACATGGGCCAGTTTCCGTAGTGATCCGGGTCGTCCGGCCGTTCAACCGGGTAGTCCCGGGGAGGGCCACCCGGAATTCCTCTGGCTGGAGCTTCGAGAGGCCCAGAGACGAATCTTAAGGCGTCTTGATTGATATCCTCATTAGCTCAACTATTCATATGTCCACGAAAGGGAGTACCCAGAATGACAGAGACTTGGGTGAAAGGAAGATAAGATACATACTGTGACTTAGATCCAGGATCCAGGCAAGACCATCACTCTCATCAGGGCGGGCTAAGGCGACATCTTGAGATAGGAGGTAGCTGGCATCATTCGAGCTGTCAGGGTGGGCAGAATACTGCGCCATATCGTGCGGATCGCGACAACCGTTCACATCATCCTCCTCCAAGTAATTTATGGCGTCGGCCTCGCGATAAATGCGCATGCGCCGGTACGACGCGTTGCGGGGGTAAGGCAGCCGCTCAAGGAGTGAGACAGCCTCCGGGATCATCCTCTTTTCGTTCAACAAACGCTGGGTATCCAGCTGAGCGTGCCTCCCCGTGTCTTCCTGCGGGAATATAACATCCTCGCGTTTCCAGAAGTTAAGCCTCAGTAGCATGGCGTACATGTCGCACCAGAGGGAGACAAATTCGTCCTCCCGGAAGGCTGCCGCAGAGCCCACAGCAGGCTGCGTCCAGACTAGTGGTGCCATTTTGGTTAGAAGCGTCATTGTGGGTGGGCTATTGCTTGTTTGTGGCGTTGTTGTGGATAGTCTACGTGAGGCTATTAATGAGCAAAGAGGGGTTGAAGAAAAGTAGATTCAGCATGCAGACAACCAACAGACTTGAGATGAACGATTGGCGGACTTCAGGGCGTTAGTCAGCTGGCGCCAAGCGCAAAACATCTCTC